TGCCTTTAAGGCAACAGGGTATGAAGTTACTAGTTATTTGGATGACTGGATCTTCATTGCGGATACTGCCGAGCATCTAAGACAGAACCTTTCACGCGCCATCGTCTTGTTTGAGAAGCTAGGTTTTTGATCAACTATCAGAAGTCCGCGCTCACTCCTCTCGCAGTGCATAGACTTCCTTGGCATAACCATTGACACGGTTAGATACCGTTTCGTGGTGCCGCCACAGAAGGTCTTGAGATGTCGCCAGGAAGCCTTGGAGCTCATAAACCGTAGAACGGTCAGACTGAGGGAGGTGGCAGAATTTGTGGGCAGGGTGGTAGCATTATCGATTGCTAACAGACTATCCATTCACTTCCTTAGAAGCCTGCAAAACTGGATAAGTGGCTACGGGCCTACCTGCTTCTCGGAATACCAATAGAAAGCCGCTCTACCGTGTAGATGTCTGGAAGACCTGAACTGGTTCACGACAGATTTCTCACGGTTTTGTTCTGAACCAATCGTGTCAAGTGCGCCAACGTTAACGATTGCTTCAGACCTAGGGTGGGGAGCAAAATGTGGCGAAGATTTCGTGAACGGTAGGTGGCGCAGAGAAGAGGAAATCCTCCATATAAATGAGAAGGAGTTGGTTGCCTGCTTCTTTGGCATCAGGTGTTTCGCGACACACCTAAGGGAGGCATCCATCCGGGTGGAGATGGACAACACCTCTGCTGTTTGGTACCTAAACAAGAGGGGAGGTACGAAGAGTCGCGGCTCGAACCTAAACCCCCCTCCCGCTCGTAGGAGAGCCATCTTGGCAGCCAGGCGTAGGATACAGATCACTGTTTATAGAGCGGGAGCAAGCAACGGTGAGGCGGACTTTCTGTCCAGGAATTCTTTCAAAAAAGTTCCGAATACTCCCTAGACAGAGAAATAGTGCAGTCTCTGTTTCAAAAATGGGGCACTTCCGACATAGATCTCTTTGCTTCTCGCGTTAACTTCAAATGTGAGAAATTCTTCTTCTTTCTTCCAGACCCATTGTGCTCGGCAGTAGACGCGTTCAAGCAAACATGGTCGGAGATCTACGCCTACGCATTTCCACACTTCAACATGGTCGGTCGCGTAGTCAGCAAAGCTGCTCGAGAGCGAACAAAGCTGATCCTTGTGTGTCCAGTCTGGCCAAGTCAGCCTTGGTGGCCGCTGGTTCGGCAGCACACCCGAGAACTTGTGCAATTAGACAGACGACCGAACCTGCTGCTGGAACCCGGCAGGACGACCGCACCCTTGTCTTCAGAAGAAGACGTTCAAACTCATCGCATGTCTCATTTAATGAGGTCCTGGAGAGAATCTGGCCTCTATACTAGCGCCGTTAATGTGCTCATGGCAAATTGGTCCGATGCCACAGTGAAGCAGTATGACACGGCCCTAAGAAATGGTCCTCATTCTGCTCACTTCGAAACATTAACGCTCTCAGGCCCAAAATTCAGGACATCATAAATTTTCTATCCAAGATGTATACCAATGGGGCATGCTTCTCATCAGTGAACACACAAGTCAGCGATAATAACATACCTAGAGAGCAGGTCGGGCCCCAAATTGAGCGAGGATGACAAACTCCTCCTGACAAAATTTATGAAAGGATTGTTTAAGGCTGCTCCCCTCAGAACCACGATACAATACAGTGTGGGATGTGTCGCAGGCAATACGGCACATTGAGAGTCTGACATTGAGAGACAACGAGCACCTATCCATCCGACAGCTTACTCTGAAACTCACTATGCTGCTAGCTTTAGCTTCGCCAAAAAGAGTTTCGGAATTAGCTGCTTTGAGTCTGGAATCACTTCAGCAAGGCGATTCAAAGTGTTCAGACTCGACTACATGGATAAAAACCGTCGGATAGGATCGAGAACTCATTCTGCACTCTTCACATCCTTCACGAAGAATCCGTTCCGCTCTGCCTTATGAAAACCATGAAGTGTCTCTCTAGATATCGTAATGCACTATACGCGTGAGCACCGCTTCCGGGCCAAGCGCTTACTGATTTCTTCTCAGAGACCATTCGCCGCCATAACGGCCACAACGGTGTCTCGCTGGCTAAAGACATTCTGGTGAAATGCGCGAGAAGGCTCATGTTTCGGCGCTCATTCAAGTAGGGCGGCGGCGACGACAGCAGCGAAGCTGAGGTTTGCCCGAAAGCGATTATGGAAGCCGCCAACTGGGCGCCAGGAGGGTCCACCATTACTTTAACACATTGCGTACCAAGCCGTTTTTGCGCTGGCGAGCTCGCCTGGCCGCGCATGCATTCGCACCGTGCGCCACATGGTGGCGCATGCGGCCACACGGGACAGATATTTTTCAAAATCCTTTTTAGAGGGTCCTTTACCACTTTGTTTTTTTTATTGTCTTGCTAAGTCACAATTTTGTTAGGACTACGTTATAATTTTTGCCTATTTGAATTGTCATGAACATTCCAAGTGGCTATCGAATGATTATATAACAGCGGTAGTGAGGGATCAAAAAATCTGCTCTGACCAAGTTCTGGTGAAAAAAAGCGATGGCAACAAGTTCGTTCCTTTACCCCACAACCTGCTTAAGCATGTTTATTGAACAGCAATGAGGTTTATTCAGTTTACAGGATATTCGTAGGTGCATTTCACCCTCCACTGGACTTCAAGGGATGTGGGTGTATTACACCCATAATTTGCCGAACATTTATTATCGATTTTGATACGAGGGTAGCGCAAGCGTGAGTAGGAGTAAGTAGAAGGTTATTATGAAGATGAGTGCCTAAAACCACGAGACTTCAAAAGTATATACAGCCAAAAGGCAAGTTAAGTGGAAGAAGCGCTCCGAAAGCCTTTACGCTGATGTTTCGCTGGCACATCACTTTATTTACGCGAAGCTTTTGGCTGAAACACATTATTGCAGCTCAGTTGGATTACAGCTAGATTGCGGACTGCTGAATTTGCTCAAAAGAATGTATTTTATTCAACCAAAGTTTAATTAGCAACCTAGGCTCTTATTAGTGTCACATAAAAATATTAGCTCACAAGCTGGAGATGTCCCACTCAAGTATGTTGTTCTCCTAGTGAGATAACATACATCTGCGCAAACATGGAATGAACATCGACAGCCACTGTGAAGAAAACCAATTCAGAAGTCGTGCGCCACCATGTGGCGCACACGGTACGCAATGTGTTAAGGATCTCATCTTGGCAGAGAACGTAGATGTCGTACAAGCAAAACGTAATTGATTTAAGAAGCCAAAAAAGGTGTTATACGAAATCGCCTAATGTATGCTATACGAAGTTATTAAGTATTTATTACCAGATTAGTCCCCCGTCAACCGCCGGGACCTTCCTTTCCTGCGCAAGCTTTCTATCCTCCGCTATGGTCCCTTCCTCCTGTGACACCAACACCTCGTGGAAGTGACGCGTATGCAACACAATGGTGTTTCATACAGTAGAAGGGACACAATCATGATATGACGGTAGATTTTTCGCTTCCCTTCCTCATCCTCCCTTCCTCTCTCCACTGCCCTCCAGCAGAATAAGTGTTATCACAACTATCCTGCTACAAAACATTGATATCTCAAATCCTGTAAGCTACCCGATTTGTTAGCGGTTTGTTTATCCCATGAGCTTCCTTCTCACTCACTTCATTTTGCGGACGGACACACATACATACATACACACACACACACACACACATACAGATACACAAACCGACACACAAAGTTAGCGCTTTATAAAATAGAAGGATTATAATTGCATTGCTGTTATAGTTTATCCACGGCTACGCGTCCCACCCGGGAGCCCTATTACCTGTTGCAACATCAGAATAGAAGTTTCCTTTCAGATCCAAATCCACCAGAGCCCAATCGCCTCGCCAATCCACAAGTCCCCGAAGAAGCAGGAGCGCCTAAAAAAGGAGACCAAGAAGAGTTAGAGGCGCAGGGGAGTTTAATATTTACTTCAACAACTTCGCTGTCTAGTAAAATAAGCAATCCTTGATCGCCCATCAGCTCCTGACGACTGCTGCGAAGCGCACTATGAATTTCGTGAAATTTGTGTTTCAGCGCCTCTTATCTGCTCTTATCAGTCGTTATCACTTTGTGACCCCCACCAAATATGTTTCCCGTCCCACCCCCTATATCATATCAAAAAATCAGCTCCTAACGACTGCTGCGACGCGTGCTATGAATTCGTGACACACGCACAGACAATAAGCGTTTTTATAGATAGTAGGGAATCGAGTTTCTGTGCTGCATCATGTTTCGGATTATCGGCGCCTTGCAGAAGCGCTGCATGATCTCAATGGATGCTTCACTCATGTAAACTCGATTATTTGCATCTTTTCCACCTCTCCTGGCTGTAGGTCCCGCAACGCGCAGATCGATCTTTCATCGGCCGCGGCCGTTGGAGCGGCAAATTAAGTACTCCAGGAGAACGAGACTCTGAAAATATTTGCAAGGGTTATTGATCATCTTGTGGTCTTTTGCCTTTTTTTCAAGTTCATTAATGTAGTATTTCTGTAGTACCTCATCGCCATGGGTTCCTGATGTACCATATGTTTGACAAAGCAGCGGATGGACCATCTAATCCCGGCAGTTTTCTTTTTTATTAGGTTAACCCGTGGTTCTTTAAAACCGATTTCACTGGCAAAATTACATTTGGCGCTATGTAGCTCGTGGGGGGGGGGCACCTTCGCAACATAACACATCGCGTCAAAATCACGGAAACGCTCCGTTTTAGGACTAAGCTTTTGAAGAGGAGAGGAACTCCGGTGTACGGAAGCAATTTTCGTATTCTCCGGAGTTCGTCCCTGCTGTTTAGGCTTAGTCCTAGATGACTTTTCTCAGAGTGCCCCCCCCCCCGAGCCACATTGCGCCTTACATTTTGTCTGAGCTTGGACTGGGGACTCCGTGGTTCCGTTATGTACCGCTTTAGTAATCCATTTGTGGTCCGTATACAATTCGATATCCTGGTCTTCTAATGCTGTTCTTATGATTTGCTTTCAGGATGCGGGTATTTCTTGCGGTTTTAATAGCCGTGTCATCAGCGTCAGCCTATGATGCTGTTGTATTCTCCAGTGAACAAGAAATTACGTGAGTGTATAGTGTTTATTATTGCATTATTTCCTACAATATCACTTGCTTTGGATGCAATCTGTGTTCTCTCATAGAAAATCAAGTGACTGGAGTTGAACAGAGGTTCTCTTTTTTCTTGGGAGGTGGGGGGGGGGGTTGGCATGTCTGTGATTTCAAGTGAATCATTGGCGCGGTGTGCTCCTTGTCTTGAGTGGGTGAAAGTTCTAGAGTTTGTGGCGGGTATGTGCTACATGACCCTGTTGAGATGTATTCTCAGGTCCGTTTTTTGTTTCCTAGAAGATGTACTCTCAGTGAATTTCATTTCCATCACGATGCAAATAGTACTCAATGGAATTCATCATCTTGGACAAAAGGAAATAAGGATCCTCGATGATAGGAAAATAGACCATGTCATTTTGAATTCGATTGTTGCATAGGAATCCTTACCTCCTTCTTTAGGAAGGACTTCCCGACTATCCCGAACTTAATATCGACCGCATCTGCAGAGGCGCCTCTCGTTTTTATTGTCAATCCTGATTTCACATTAGGTTCGTTTTTGCTTATTATATTTTATCCTCAACTTAAAGTATGACCGATTGCATGACAGCAATGCGTTGTTGTGCTATTTTTACCTTGAGCGCTTATCTTATAACGAGTGTTTTGATTTCCAAATTTATAGCTAAATTGAACAAGTAAAATAGGCGTAAAATAACTACCGAAACTGATACCGTTACTGGCTGCCAATTTCTTAACACAACACATGTGCTACATACCGATAGCGAGAAAGAGTAAGGCAAAAGACCAATATGCTCATACATGTATCACTGATGTTATAGTATCGCAGCGAAACAGATAAATGGAATTCTAACCGACGAGCGTTTTTCGAACGTCCCTTAACAAGACAAAGCAAGCGTTTGTTCACTGGCCTCACCGTATGCAAATTGCTAAGCCGTCTGCAATCTCAAAAGGATTGAGGAGGACCTAATTATTTCTGTATGAAGCTGCGGTCCACGGTCCCGGCACGCTGTTGTCGCGAAGGTCGAACAGCCAACGTGAGCCTTTAGTGTAGGGCGCTTCTTTGAGTAGTAGTTTAGATCTAATGTTGAACAGGTCTGAGTAGAAAGTAAATGCTATAGTAAATGCTAAGTGCATTAATAACCCAGTGATGTCATTTTGCCTGTTATGTTGCCTCGTAACGTTGGGGTACCAATAAGTCAGGAGCACCGATGCGTGGTGGAACATGCTCACTGAAATTGGAAATAGTGAAGTCTTTGCCCGCTTCCTTGCCTCGACTTCGACCCCTCAAATACCGGGTATCAGCAGAGCTCAATATGGGTAAAGGTGTAAAGAAGTTGTGGGTCTCGCAGTGCCCGGACTTAGCGTCATAGTTAATCGTCAAATTTGTCTGGTGTCGTCCGTGCAGAAGGTTTTTGTAAAGTGATATGTTAGCGTGGAATGTGTCACTTAACTGATAGGTAGAAACATTCAGTTAGGTCACAGCGAAGTGTCTCTTCTGTCTAGAAAAGGAAAAAGCTGTTTCTTGGTTTCCCTTTACATTCAGAGCGTGTTATCGATAGAATGTTCGCCTATGCCACAGCACAGCTCATCATTTTGATCTTCAGTATCCCTAATATTATTCTTCTGGAGTGCAAGGTTTTTCTCAATAAGTCGCATCTTTCCTGCCATTGTTCACCCCGAATTCCCGTTTGTGCTTTCTACTACGTCGGACTGCCGAGTGCTCTATTTGAGAGAGCGTAACCGAGCCATTGTTTTAGACCAGTGCAAATGTTGAGTAGAGAGTTCAATGTAGTTTCTTGTCACCTTCACTTCGCTCAACAGTAGAAGCCTCCCTCGCCTGACACTTGCAAAGCTGCATGTTAGTGATCAGCATCACACAGTTGTAGTTGTATCGCTGCTGCTTTTTTTTGCTCAACTTTTTCGTTCTTCACTTAGCTAACCAAATCAACAGCAATACCATACCGAAATTCATGTAAAACGACAGCAATTACAATTTACTCTTATATTTTTCCTCAAATTATCATTGTATCGTTTGGTTTTTGCCAGTTCTTTTGCCCACAAGGTGTTTAACACATCGCACTTTGTGAGAAAAACTAAAATTTGATTCTCTCATTCAGGACAGTTCTCGCGAGAGGCAGCCGCGTATTCCCAGGATAAGGTGGTGTCTGGTCTTCCTGCAATTGTGAAGTCGTCTTTGCACCACGCTCCACGATATTTTGCCGATGGCCTTCATGTAATTATCTATGTTTTGAGTGTTTTGATGGCTCGTTCGATTCTATCTAATAGGAGTTTTTTTCCTCACTAGACTGCTTCTTATTCAGGCACCCGGAGCAACCATCCTAACGTCACCAGATAATTTCGTTTCTGGTGCAAGCATATATATCCTCATGGGAGAGGAATGGGCAACTATGGAAAAGCTTGCTGAAGTTGTTCTTCCCCAGATGGGAAAGAAATACACTGCTGTAATCACATCTAGCGAAGCAGTGTCTGGGGACAAGGTAATTCGTAAGGTTCTTGTACATTAGTGTTTTCATTCGAATTATTCCTCCAGGTAAGAGTGAAACGTGTTGTGACTTCTGATATGGAGAACGATTCTGCACCGTCGGGCTCACCCTCACCAGATGCAGCTGGAGGTTTGTCGTTCATTAGAAAAGCCTGTCGACAATTGCATCTTGAGTTCTCATTTTTTTCCTTCAGGACCGTCCATGCCAATGCCTTTGAATTTGCCTCCGTATAATAGGAGTGGTTACCCGGATGTTCAGCCGGGAAAGTGAGATCTTTAGTGATAGTTAATATATTCGTTTGCATTTTTAATAAACTAAGAAAAATGTTCTAAATGCAGCGGTGCGCACTGAAATTCACCTTTACTTGGAAGGGTTACCATTTGAACAGGTCTAGCCATTATTCTCCTTCGCACTGGGACAAGTGTTAGGCTCCGAAAATGACTAGCGCCTTGTGCGGATTGGACCGCGAGGTACTTAAACTTTCGTAGAAGTGGTGACTTGCGTTTTGAAGATGTCGGACACATTTTTGCAGCTTTTTTGGTAGCATGGACTGTGTAGGTCTTTTTTTTCCCTCCGAAAATTGCTTGATCTCATAGCTAGTTCGACCTTTATTCACTTCTCAAATTTACCTTTTATTGAGATTCATCTCATTTTTAATCTTGCCATTTGGTTCTGGTATTTAAATTTCAATTGAAGCAAGTATGCTCTTGTTTAGGGCTAATCTAGGATCCTGTCTTCTTTACATGGAGGGGGTAAACATTGTGGTGCAAAATGCTAAGAAAGCTTTTGCTACAATCCCAGTACGGTCCAATGGAACCAATTGGTCAGTTCTGTTGTTAGTATATTCTCTTGGAAACGGTATAATAAAGGTCTTAAGTGGTGTTTTTTCAGGAACTACTCAGATGGAGATGTTGTATGTACCAATACCTCCGCCACGTGAGTGTTTTCTTTCTTTCTTTACATCTTTATTGCTTAGAAAACGATTTCGTTTATTCCCAATTAAAGATTTTTTGTGCGTATGATGCTTGACGCGGACGCAGTTGATGCCAAGAATCAGATCAAAATAAGCAAAGGAGCTCAATTAAAGTTCAGGTGAGTGAAAAATGTCTCGAGATTTTGAAGTCTGACGTTTTTTTTTCGGAAGGGATGTTTCCGAACTTTCCATTAATTTGCGTTCCAATAGCTCTTATGAAAGCATAAACGGAGTTGTGTGTAATGAATATGACATAACCAACAACTATGATGAAGTGCGATACCATGATATATGCACATTAGATTATAATGTATATTAAAACTACTACTGAGTTGTTTGCGACATTGTTGTGGAAGCTTTCTGTGTATCTATTTAGTACACGCATCATAGAAGTATCGTCAAATTTTTTCTCAATATGTTAAACCGCAAAAAGCTTTCGAGGCTAGTTTAATTCGCAGTTCGAGCTTCATAATTAAATTTTGGTACGGTTCATCTAACATACAATTATTCCAGACGTAATTGAGATCGTCGTTAAGACATGTCTGAGACGGTGACATATAGAAATAAGCCTAATCGCTATTGTATTTTTTTTCTATGTATGCGTTCTTTGCCAGTGTGCTTGCATAACTCCATGGGGTCAGTTTGGAAATATGCTTTTTGACGTACGCATCAACAAATTGTGCTCTCGCTGTCAGGCAGAGTCAATCGCCTGTTGAACAATTCCCAACCATTTAATAGATACATAATTTCCTCGTTCTGAAACTGAGGATAGAATTTTGCTGTGAAGTGAAGTTTACACTATACAGAGACTTTATACTATATCTATACATAGAGTGATTAATTGATTTAGCCGTTTCTGCAGTGCAGTCATTCTCTCTCCCTTCCTCGACGGACCTTTCGTAGATTAGGAAGTTAAGCTCCCGACAGGAGGAATGTTGGGACAATAGGAATCATTGGAAGGATTGAATTTTTAATACGAAAACTCTACAGTGCGTACCAAAAGTATGTGGAAATCTAAAATCGATTTTCAGGGGCGCTAAAGACGTTTTTGCTCATGAATCCTTACCATTCAACTCCTCGTGTTTAGCAAACTAGAACGAAATTTTTGATGGGTTTTTTTCCTTTGTATCAAAAGTATGTGGACACCCTGAGGCAGATCAACTTTCTGCACTAATTTTCTAACCTATTTTACTTCTTCTTTCGTTACTTATTCTGGCATCATTCCTCTTCACGGCAAGCGTTTTTCTGAAGAAGACCAAGCACAGATGTGGGATCCTCATGCTTCTGAACCTTCCTATTGCGAAATCGCACGTCAACCCGGTCGTGCGTCCTCGTTTGTTGGGAAAGAGATCCAGAATCCTGATGCTAAGCTCCCAACACTGATTGAGGGTCGTCTTCAATCGTTACTTGTTCAAAACAACACAAGAATAGCCTGTACTGTCTCAAAATTTCTTTGGTCTGCTATCCGCGTTCGCGCTAAAATGACTTCCCTCTTATAAAAAAGACCACTCGGTGTTCCATCCAATCGAGTGAGCACACGACACGAGAGAAGATGAAGAAAGCTTCGTGTATGGATGCACAGCATAGATTGGCAAAACTGGAATTGCCGTTCGAAAATACAGGGTGGTCCAAAATTATGAGGACCAAGACATTGTGTCGTTAAAAACGCATAGTAGCTTGATGGAACAAACCAACTTCTGGGAAGTATTTGTAACTCTTACCTCAAAGTAATTCCAGAATAGAATTGAGATCTGCCACTTGCCCCGTTAACACGAGCCTTCGGATGAGGGGGATGGCGCGTGCGGTGGCACGCAACTAAGGCGTGTCCAAATGTTTCCAGGCCTTCTGCTCTGCCTTCTTCAGGGAATCAAACTTTTGTGGGCATTTATTTGCGCTTGCATCCAGGGTGTGAAATACAGAAATCTAGAGCTTAGGTGGAGGTTCCATTGTAACAATTCTTCGAAAGCAACGAACTCGAAAAATCGCTTTTTAGAGAATTTTTGCTTTATTCTTGGGTGCTCGGTCCTGTAAAAGTCCCAAGTAGACTACTCGTGTGGCTTTCTATCCACTACAGATGTGGAGTCTTTAGAGTGTCTGGCTGGGTTTTCACATCAATTTTTTCATTTTGGGAGTACGAAAGTCGACAAGGGGAGACCTAGTTTCTGCATCTGATAATTATCCTGGTGGTAACTGTAACTTTCGAGTCCCCGAATTTTCCATCTGTGGTGGTTCCAAACTTATTGAAGAGTTGAACTGTTGCTCATAAGGAGCTTCTCTGATAGGTTAGACTGCTGCTAGATGTAACGTGCCAGAGCCCCTAGTGAAATTTGAAGACTGACTCAAAGTGAAGTAGATATCTCACTAATTTGAGAACTTCATGAAAC